GGGGTAACTGCCCCCATGATTCAATTACCTGGCACCAGGTCCTTCCCACAACATGTGGGGATTATAGGAACTACAATTCAAGATGAGATTTGGGTGAGGACACAGCCGATCCACATCACCATGTGACTGCAGGTGCTACTAGAAATCCCCATTAAAGGATCTCTGGGAATGGATAACTCTGTAGTATTCTTCATAATCACAGCCACACAGTTTGACTGACATTGAAGGTCAAAAGAGGCCCACTCATTATCCCATGAAACAGCTGTCTTTAATGATGCCAGAGGGAACTGTGGTACAGTGAGGAAGGTAGGAGCCTGGCGGAGCTCGCCAATTCCTCAGTGCTGGGTTTGAACCTACACACCACCACTTCTGAACTCTGAATCTCTTTCCTCCTCTGTAAAGTGTTCAAAGTAACCTACTTTGCAATATTATTGCTCAAAACAAAAGAGAGATATCTATTCAAGGCTGCCACTTCTGGTACCACATTCTGATTACCTATTGCTACATCTCAAGCCATCTCAAAGCATAATGGATTCAATAGCAACCCATTTTATTATATCTCATAGATTCTGCGAGTCAGGAATTTAGGCAGGGCTCAATCAGGTCAGAGGAGTTCTCTGCACCTCATATGCCCATGGACATTGCTCAGTGGAACTCGGCTAGAGGTGAACTGGCCTGGAGGGTGCATGGCAGCATCGCTGATGTGCTGTCCAGGCGATTCTCATTCCCCGTAGCTGTGTTCTATAAAACTGCCATGAGCACCAAATTAGCTCAAATGGAACCACTGCTCCTAAAGAAATTCAAGATTTGGTTCCCATGAGCTTCAGCTCACAACATTTCTGTTGATGATCAATATTTGACTTTGGTTTTTGGTTTTTTTTTTTTTTTGAGACGGAGTTTCGCTCTTGTTACCCAGGCTGGAGTGCAATGGCGCAATCTCGGCTCACCGCAACCTCCGCCTCCTGGGTTCAGGCAATTCTCCTGCCTCAGCCTCCTGAGTAGCTGGGATTACAGGCACGCACCACCATGCGCGGCTAATTTTTTGTATTTTTAGTAGAGACGGGGTTTCACCATGTTGACCAGGATGGTCTCGATCTCTTGACCTCGTGATCCACCCGCCTCGGCCTCCCAAAGTGCTGGGATTACAGGCTTGAGCCACCGCGCCCGGCCCGGTTTTTGGTTTTAAAGACACCTTATTGAATATCTATTTCTTAAAAATAATTAGTTATGAAGAGTTTAACATTTTCTTGACCCTGGGTAATGTGACCATGAATTTCTTTGGCTCTCAGCCTCATACACAAAAAAAATGCTGTCGCTACTCTTTTTTCTATAGGTCATGATCTCAAAAATCGACAGATTTAGCCATTTCCCCATCTTTTACATAGCTCCATCACGCACTAAAGATTTACTTTAAGCACTTTCCAGGACGGCCTCCCTTACAGATTGACAAATTTCCTCTTCTCTTTTCCCAGTGTATCATGTTGTTGATTCATAACCTGGAACTCAGGGCCAACAGCACTAGAATGCCTGCCTGAACAAAGCATATCTGACACACATATTTCCTGTGCAAGGCACATCACAGCCTTCTTGCACTTAGGAACACTGGACTGCACTTCAGCCCTAGGTTTGGGGATCACTTTAAACAGTGAAATCAACAGCAAAAAGCACAAAACACGTGGCACTAGGTAGAGAGTGAAAAGGACAGTTGATTGCAGTATTGAGAGCTGTAACAAGAAGGCAAACCATCTTCTTCTGTGACTTCAGCTGGGAACATGCACATCGAGAGACTCAAATCTTTTGCCGCTCCACACACATCAATGAATAACTACAACAATGCTGCAAGTATTGATTTTGGGGTTATGAATAAATTTTAGGGAGCAGATAAGTTTGCAAATACAAAATCTGCAGATAATGAGTGTCACTGGTATTTGGTTTCAAGAATGGGTAGAAGACTGCACTCAGTCTGGACTGTCCAGTGGCGAAAGGTCCACATGTGGCCCTCTAACATGTCACAAGGTACTTGGACTTCTTATTGTTTTTCTTGATTTTCCTCTTATAAAACTCATGTGTAGGCTGGGCATGGTGGCTCACGCCTGTAATTCAAGCACTTTGGAGGCCAAGGCGGGCGGATCACCTGAGGTTGGGAGTTCAAGACCAGCCCGACCAACATGGTGAAACCCCATCTTAAAAAAAAAAAAAAACTCGCGTGTGTTTGTGTGTGTGTGTGTGTGTGTGTGTGTGTGTCTGTCTGTCTTGAAGCTAAGTCTGTAACTAAATAAACTGTGTTACTTTGTGTTCATTATTCAAACATTTTAGGGACCAGGAGAATTCTGTGTATTTTTTTTAGTAGAAAAAGCTTACCAGGCCAGGTACAGTGGCTCATGCCTGTAATCCCAGGACTTTGGGAGGCCAAGGTGGGTGGATCATGAGGTCAAGAGATCAAGACTTTCCTGGCCAACATGGTGAAAACTCATCTCTACTGAAAATACAAAAATTAGCTGGCTGTAGTGGCATGCACCTATAGTCCCAGCTACATGAAGGCTGAACAGGAGACTCTCTTGAACCCGGGAGGTGGAGGTTGCAGTGAACCAAGATCGCACCACTGTGCTCCAACCTGGCAACAGAATGAGACTCCATAAAAAAAAAAAAAAAAAAAAAGATCTACCAAAAAAGACTGACTCTGATGTCATATAAAATATGCCTTTTCTCAAAACCTTCTTAATTGTGCTATGCTTAGAGCATGAAGGACATGAAATAAGAAATATAATTGCATCGTAATTGGGTCAAAAATGCAATAAAGGTAGCACTCCTTGAAATTTACTATTCTGTACTGGTCCCCTAAGAAATTATCAGCAAGAACATGTTAAGAAAATAAGTCCATCACCAAGTCATTCCCTTTTATTACACAAATAGTAATAATCCTTCCCTCTTACTTTATTAATAAAAGGGCCAAATCATTTATCATCCACTTAGGACACTTTTTAGAGTGAAATGGGACACTCTTAATTATGCTGGGACAATAGGCGTAAGCCAGACCTGCCAAGACAAACTGGGACTTGCACCCATCCCAACTGTGGCAGTATCCATAGTCAATATAAACCTCAGGTATTTATAAGGCTGGCTTGGTTGTAATGCATTGTATCTTTCCAATTATGATACGAATTACTTTCAGGAGATACAAGTTGAGCTCTCTTTTCTATAGGCATATTGCACAGACCTTAATTGGCTCACAAGCCCTGTGAACTATGTAAGCCATCCATCCACCAAAACACCTCCCTTTTGTAAAAATGAATGATTAACAATTACCTTGATAAATGTGATGAAGCATGTCAAATGTTATACTCGCTGTAGTTTCATTAAATGTATTGCACTTGATTCTTTTCCTAACCTGGAATTCATTTGCTCTTTAAAAAAAAATTGTTTTTGTGTTAGAGTATTTTTAGGAGAATAGACCGAAATTTTAGTATCTCCCCATTCAAAACATAATCGCCCTTCCCAAAGGTATCAAAGCAGTAACAGCAGTTACTCCTCCCTCCATTCTTAGATTTTCATCTCCAAAGCCAAGTCAATCAAACGCCAAAGAAAAGTCAGTCCAGCTTGCAGTACATACACTAAAGTAATGGTTTTCATTTATTTCACAGGTTTTGTCAGTTCATTCTTTGCATGTAGACATAGCCAAAATCCTTTTGTTCCATTGGTAAAGTGGAAACGATATTATCATTACCATGATTAGACATCTTTGCACAATGTCCTGGAATCACTTCAGGACACACTTGAGTCCCTTAAAATCATCTGCAGCACATTATGTGTTTGTGTATCTCAGGGGATCACCTGAGAGTGTGGGAAAGATTTAAACAGACACACCAGAGTTAAGAGACCAGCCATCCCCTGGGCTTTTATTCCACAGAGAGACACGTTCACCTAATGGAAACTTTCTCACTGGCTCTGTAAACAGAAGCCTGTGATCATACACCTTCCTGCATAGCCCAGACCCCAGGTCACATTGCAGTTGGTCCCTTACGGCTTACCTCCATCCTCAGGATCTTTAGATATGCCAGATATACAGCACTCAATGTTAATTTTATCCTCTGCATAGCTACTCAATATCTGCTTGCACTCCTGACTTAACTGGTAAAATTTGAAGGATCAAAACATCTTTTTGGTGACCTCTTACTTTTTTACTATTTCTCAGTACCAACAAACAAAGGTCTCCCTGTCCACATGCTACTGATGTGTCGTTGATCAGTTCAAATCAACGTATCTATCCTGTATTCTAGTAAACATAGGACTTGTCCTACTAACATCCACTTGGATGGAGATTTGGTAGAGAAGAGAAAAACTGGACATTTTACAGAAGTGAAGTCAAAACAATTTCACAAAATCATTCAGGTTTCTATGAAATTCTGATCTCACTTTGCACTTTTCATGATCTCTGATGAATAAGTCTTTGTGGGAGGAGGCTGGTTTGGGGACTTTGCTGCTCTGGGTTGAATACCCCATAGATCCTGACTAGCACTTCCCACAGCTTAGTGTATCCCATTCAGAGATTCTAAATCATAACAATCCCAGGCTTTCATGGCATTCCTCTTATGGTTCATTAAAAAAAGCTTAGGCTAGGGCCAGGTGTGATGGCTCATGCCTGTAATCCCAGCACCTTGGGAGGCTGGGGTGGGCAGATCACAAGGTCAAGAGATCGAGACCATCCTGGCCAACATGGTGAAACCCCCATCTCTATTAAAAATACAAAAATTAGCTAGGCATGGTGGTGTGTGCCTGTGATCCCAGCTACTCAGGAGGCTGAGGCAGGAGAATTGCTTGAACCCAGAAGGCAGAGGTTGCAGTGAGCCAGGCTTACGCCGTTGCACCCCAGCCTGGCGACAGAGCAAGACTTCATCTCAAAAAAAAAAAAAAAAAAAAAAAAAAAAAAATTCAGGCTAGGGCCAGGCGCAGTAGTGCATGCCTGTAATCCCAACACTTTGGGAAGCCAAGGTGGGTAGATCATGAGGTCAGGAGTTCGAGACCAGCCTGACCAACCTGGTGAAACACCGTCTCTGCTAAAATTCCAAAAATAAGCTGGGCTTGGTGGCGCACGCCTGTAATCCCAGCTACTCAGGAGGCTGAGACAAGAGAGTCGCTTGAACCCAAGAGGCAGAGGTCGCAGTGAGCGGAGATTGCACCACTGCACTCCAGCCTGGGCAACAGAGCAAGACTCTTATCTCAATAGAGGAAAAAAAAAAGCTTAGTCTAAATTGTTCACCAAAGAAAGGTCTCAGTGTCCTCCAGCTTTCATGCACAAAGGTGGCGTTTCCACCTTCTTGGAGCTATCATCTGAAGAGCAGACTCAGGCACTGTCTTTTCATATTGACTCCTGCTCTGCATTTCATCATCTTTTAGAGAATGCGCCCAGAACAACAAAAGACTATTTACAGTTCTAATGGTTTTCCCACTGACCTTTGACCATGCAGACAACACTCTGTTTTCTCTACCCCAAAATGTGCCTGTGCATAATGCTCTGTGACTCGCCTCATCTTTGAGTTGCGTGAATTAGGGATTAGAGCCTCGCTGGACGCGGCTGCCCTTTTCAGGTTGTTTCAGATCTGCAGGGATGTATTCGCCCCATTTTATGTCACTTTGCCTTTGCAAATTTTACCTCAACTTCTTTTTAAAAAAAATTTTTTTAACTTACAGAATATAATCAGAGCAAAGCTTCAGAGCTGTGGGGCAGGGAAGACTAATTGGTGCTTAAACCGCTTTGAAGCTTTTCATCCAAGGGCGGTAGCATCTCCATAAACGTTGGCAGTATCCAAGGGCCTGATTTCACCCAAGAATATGATTTCTGCAGTTTGCAAGTTGTTTTCTAATTGTAGGATGTGGAGAACTGTCGGCTAGAGTCTAGACTGATTCCGCTGAGAGCCCAGAGACACAAATCTATCTTTACTTGCCCTCTTCGCCTCATGTTTAGATGGTCACAGATTTCACCTCCACGGTATTTCAAAAACACTGTTTCCCCTGTGGTCTCCACCCCTTCATGACCATCCATGTGTCCTCTCACTAAATGTAACCAATTTCTGTATCTTTTTGTGCTTCAAGGTATCTCACAATCAGTTGTCTAGATAAACCTCACATTTAAAATGGTGTAAAAGGCCAGAGAGAAGCTCGCTTTCTTCTTGAATCTGATTACGTAAAATTCTCAACTATGTAACTTTTTACTTTGCACTACCCACAGCAGCATGAATGTGTATCTCAGAAAATGCAAAAATAATAATATTTGCCAAACTCACTAAGGTAATTATTTCTGCTTTATAAATAACAGTATTTCACAAATATAAAATGCCTTCACATCAAAGTCACTCTGTGTTTAAAAAATCGAGGCTGATATCTCTGTGTCCCTGTCTGAATAGCCAGATGCAGTCCCCTGAGAAATGGCAGAGAAGGAAAGAGAAGCAACATTTACTGAGTCTTTCGTGTGTTCTTACATGTTCAACCCCGTTTAATCCTCACGATAACCCAGAAGTTGGTGTTATTACTTTCCTATTACAGAGGAGTGACTGAGGCTCAGAGAGGTTCTGTACCTTGCCCCAAGTCATTCCTGCTAGCAGAGACAAGATTTGAACCCACTTTTGGCTCCCTGCAAAGGGTGTCCCGTGTGAGAGATAAAGAAAAGTCCCTGGGGACCCATCACCTCGAGCAGTAGCCCAACTTCCTGCTGAAAATTCTAGCAGGTGGCCTAGAAATAGGAGAATTAAGCAAGTCAGAGAGAAAGAGAAACATCCATGAAAGAGGTGACAATGAACTGTCTTCAGAATGACTCAACCTTGGTTCTCAAAGGGCATCTGCTTGTGCCTCAGTGTCATTGGTAGGACACAGAGAACTCCTGAAGGGGTGTGGCCAGATGGCACTAGGACTTCAGAATACGGCAAGGCAGGAAAATACACACAGCATGTCCAGTCCAAACTGGAGTAAGAGACTTGAACCCTTGGAAAGCCAACTTGAGTGGTGTCCTAAGGTGTGTTAAGGTCACAGTGGATCCATGGACAGAAGATGGCAGAAGGTCTTTCTGGAGGAGTCCAGAAAAGAGGCCTTAGGGTCAGAGAAGAGGCCAAGATTCAGGGGCAAAACAATGGTATTCAGAAAGTCAAAATACAAGCTCAGGAGAGAGGCGGCCTGGACGAGCCCTGTGGGAATAGCAGTGTATTAGTCCCTTTTCACGCTGCTGATAAAGACGTACCCGAGACTGAGAAATTTACAAAAGAATGAGGTTTAATGGATTTACAGCTGCACATGTCCAGGGAAGCCTCACAAGCATGGTGGAAGGCAAGGAGGAGCCACTCACATCTTACCTGGATGGCGGCAGGCAAAGAGGGAGCTTGTGCAGGGAAACTCCCATTTTTAAAACTGTCAGCTGTCATGAGACTTATTCGCTATCACAAGAACAACATGGAAAAGACCCAACCCCTTGATTCAATTACCTCCCACTGGGTCCCTCCTACAACACATAGAAATGCCAGATGAGATTTGGGTGGGGACACAGCTAAACCATATCAAGCAGTTACCCAGTTGCAGGACTAAGAAGGAAGGGTGGGCAAGGGTGCAGGGCTGGGAGCTTCTTTTCCCATCCCCATCCCCTAGCATGGCCAGTTCATCTCAGAACTTAAGCAGGACCAAGACCTTTGGTACCATACCTGGCCCTCTTCACTGAGTGTCTCCAAGGAGGCAGGGCCTGACCAGAGTCCTCAGGGCCTGTGTGGAAAGGCCCTGAGCTAGTGAAAAATTCACCAGTTGACAAACAGATGGCAAATTAGCAAAGACATAGAAATTTCCTGTAACCAAAAACAAGAAAGAGTCTGAAACTGAAAACTGAGGCTTTTTCCTTTGGAAAAGATGTCCCAGCAACGACTTTTTTCCATAACTGGAGGTTAAAGAGGTGGGCTGGCAGGGAAGGGGATGCTTCCAGGGCTGGCCCTGCTCAATGTGGTTACAAAGCACAGCTGCTATTTCAAGCTTGGGGAGAATTTTGGTGCATTAGGCCAAATGCAGTGACTCATGCCTATAATCCCAGCACTTTGGGAGGCCAAAGTGGGAGGACTGGTTAAAGCCAGGAATTGGAAACCAGCTTGAGCAACATAACCAGATCTCTTCTTTACACAAAATTTAAAACTTAGCTGGATGTGTTGATGTGTGCCTCTTGTTCCAGCTATGCGGCAAAAAAATCACTTGAGCCCAGGGGTTTGAGGCTGCAGCAAGCTATGATCACACCACTGCCCTTCAGCCTGGGTGACAGAGTGAGACCCCCATCCCTAAAAATTAAAAAATGATAATTAAAAACAATTGGTTCATCAAATTGAGAGGGTGCAGCAAGCCATGATCACACCATTGGATTGCAGCCTGGGTGACAGAGTAAGATCCCATCCCTAAAAAATTTTTTAAAACATGAAAAAAAAATGAGTGCATAAAATTGAGAGGATGAAGTGGATTCTAGATGTGGAAATAAAACGAATGGATGTGAGAGGCTGGAAAACACAGTGAATGTAAGGATAACATTGAGCAAAACAGCATTTGGGGTGTGGGCTGTACCTCTGGAATTGGGGAAGGAGATGCACAAAGTGGGCTTGTGAGAGGGCAGGAATGGACTCTGAAAACACCCTTCTCACCCATCACATTCTCGCTGCAGGCTGGGCATAAATGTTCAGCTTGCCCCATGATGTAACAGAATCACTAGCTGGGTGAGCTAAACAGGCTTCTTTCACTGCTCTCCAGCAAGGTAGTGGCTTCCCAATTAAGCACTGCATCTGCTGAATCATGAGGTCTGAACATCCCTCCAAGCAAAAGTGCAGACACTGCCCCTTCCACACCTATGTGTCCCAGAACTTTTGACAGGAGGAGATGACTTGGAGTGCTTCCTCAGACAATTTCCAGGCAGAATGCAAAAATTCGCCTCATCAATATCTGACATTGCTTACATCCTACAGGCAAGCATGTATCTGGGATGTCTAGAAAATAAGAGGACTTCTCTGAGTTGCTTTAAAGGACAATTAATGCCTTCTCTGTCTCTGCTGTCTGACACTGAAACTTTATTTTCTCCATTTTGCTACATTATCCTCTTTTCTGATGTTTATCATTTTTTTGACTAGTATTTTTATTGATAAGAGGTGCTTTGGAATTTGCACACATGAAGAAATAAAGAGCTTTTTTCTTCTACATTTCTAGTATTCAGCTGCTCTCTTAACTTTCTTGTCCAGATGTTTTGACTTTTAAATTCTCTAGACGGTTTCTTTTTCTTTCTTTCTTTTTATTTATTTATTTTTTTTTGAGACCAAGTCTCATTCTGTAACCCAGGCCTAAGTACAATGGTACAATCTGGGCTCACTGCAACCTCCATCTCCTAGATTCAAGCAATTCTCCTGCCTCAGCCTCCTGAGTGGCTAGAACTACAGGCATATGCCACCAAGCCCAGCTAAATTTTGTATTTTTAGTAGACAGAGTTTCCCCATATTGGCCAGACTGGTCTTAAACTCCTGACCTTAGGTGATCTGCTGCCGAGCCTCTGCCTAGGATCTGCATATTATGTAGTCAGTTTTGTTCAGCATTTTTGAAAAATCCCCGCTCTCAGAGTTCTGAAGACATGACTCCACTGCCTGCTGGATTTTGATTCTGTGGAAGTCTGAAGCCAAGTCTGACTGGCTGCTTGTGGTCACCTGACTTTTTGTTTTTATTGCGGTTGTTGCTCTTGTTTACCTACTACTCCTGTTTGCTCTAGGTCCCTTCTTTGTGCCTAAAACATGCAAATGTCATGAAGCTAAGTCTCGGTATCACATTATTCTAACTAATTGGACTTTGTTTTAGTGAACCTTTTCAACCTAAGGTCAACTCTTTATTTAGCCCAAGGAAGTTTCTATTTGTTCAATGCTTCTTTTCCATGTGTTCTGTACTTTCTTACATGTACATGCCACTTCCCTAAACCGTGGATCTTTTTTCCTCCCATTATTTTCACTTCCTCATTTTTTTCATACCC